GACTGGCACAGACCTGCACTCAGAGACTGGCACAGACCTGCACTCAGAGGCAGACACAGACCTGCACTCAGAGGCAGACACAGACCTGCACTCAGAGGCTGGCACAGACCTGCACTCAGAGGCAGACACAGACCTGCACTCAGAGGCAGACACAGACCTGCACTCAGAGGCAGACACAGACCTGCACTCAGAGGCTGGCACAGACCTGCACTCAGAGGCTGGCACAGACCTGCACTCAGAGGCTGGCACAGACCTGCACTCAGAGGCAGACACAGACCTGCACTCAGAGGCTGGCACAGACCTGTACTCAGAGGCAGACACAGACCTGCACTCAGAGGCTGGCACAGACCTGCACACAGAGACTGGCACAGACCTGCACTCAGAGACAGGCACAGACCTGCACTCAGAGACAGGCACAAACCTGCACTCAGAGACTGGCACAGACCTGCACTCAGAGACAGGCACAGACCTGCACTCAGAGGCAGACACAGACCTGCACTCAGAGGCTGGCACAGACCTGCACTCAGAGACTGGCACAGACCTGCACTCAGAGACTGGCACAGACCTGCACTCAGAGGCTGGCACAGACCTGCACTCAGAGGCTGGCACAGACCTGCACTCAGAGGCTGGCACAGACCTGCACTCAGAGGCAGACACAGACCTGCACTCAGAGGCAGACACAGACCTGCACTCAGAGGCAGACACAGACCTGCACTCAGAGACTGGCACAGACCTGCACTCAGAGGCTGGCACAGACACACACATGCTGAGCCACACTAACAAAGGATAAGATTAAAAAAAATCAATAACTGAGCTAATTGCTTGAACAAGTGGCAGAGCAAACGAGAGACTACACAGATCAATGCCCCTCTATCCTGTGGGCAGCGGTTTATAGGTTACAATCCCCCAGTTACTATCTACAGTTACCTACCCAAAGGTCGCCAGGACCTTCCAAGAGTTAGCGTTCTGCAATTGCAAGGAGCAATGTGTGGAAGTAAGGTTGAAGGAAGGTTGCACTTCCATGTGTGGTCTTGGGTCGACATGTATCAATGGTGTAGTGGTAAGACACTCGCCTGGCGTTCCGCGAGCGCTTTGTCCTGGGTTCGTATCCTGGCCGGGGAGGATTTACTGGGCGCAAATCCTTAACTGTAGCCTCTGTTTAACTCAACAGTAAAATGTGTACTTGGTTGTAACAACGATTCTTCGCGGCGGGGATCGTATTCCAGGGACCTGCCCGAAACGCTACGCGTACTAGTGGCTTTACAAGAATGTAACAACTCTTGTATATCACCATTTGGTCACCATTTGGTCCGGGAGACATCTCCCGTCACGCAGGGTGCAGTTGCGTCTCCACAGATCTCCAGTATCATCTTTTGATACAGGTAATGGCTCAAAAGGGCCACCACTTACGGGCTATTCATGCCCGTGCCACCTCTTGGGTGGCTTAATCTTCATCAATCAATCAATCAATCTTGTATATATCTAAAAAAAATGGATGGGCTCTCAGCGCTATGAGCCTGACACCAGTATTCCATTAAGCACACTTGAAACATTGGTCTTGAGTCGAGTTTGATTCAAAATTAAGGTTTCAAAATCAGTTTTACCCTTCGTTTCCCTACTACTCAATCTTTATATGCCCTTTCAAATACAAATATCCTTCATCAACTTTGCAGCACCCAGCTACTCATAATTTCTTTGACAAATTTACCGAGGCATCATTTATTCCCTCCTGATGCCTTTGTACACCTAAAAGAAAGTAGGAAGCCAGGAACTCGACAGTCTGTAGCAGAATATCACACACAGAGATCACACTAACGTGATGCATCAAATGAACAAATCCACAAGGGCAGTGACGAGGATTCGAACCTGCGTCTGGGAGCATCCCAGCAGAATATGGTTGGCTTAGGACCGTTTGCCACTCGCTAAAAGGTGACTACATTCGTCTGGTCCCGTACCCAACCATGTAACAAATTACAGACCTTGTACAAGCCTAATAGGACACCATTATATTAAATAGAAACGATAGGCGTCAGTGCTGCCACTCACCACCACTCACTACCACCTACACTCACACGCAGCAAAATCCATCACCTTCACATATCCAAAAGTCATCCTACGAGGATTATAACCCTCCCCAGAAAGGGGTAGACCCAATGGGCAAGCAAGACAGTGCCTCAAAAGAGAAAGAAAGCTTTCGTAACCCATGACATGTGCAGCAGTTCTCAGGTTCTTTGTACATCATTTTAAGCACGGCAATAGAGGCTCCATGTCCATTCCAGGTCATAGCTTTCAGTGCCCTGAGTCGACTTTTGCATGTTCCTATGTTCAATGAGTGGAAGGTTCAGTCATAGCCTCTCTGGTCAGCACCCGCCGGCAACATCAGCCCTGGAGATCAGGTTTCCTGCGGCACCAGCACCGGCGCACCTCAGTCTAGTGTAGTCTACCTCCCGCCGTGTTTATAATTTAGTTTCCATGCTCAATGGATGATAAAGTTTACAGGACACACACACACACACACACACAGCATTTACACTCTCAACACACACACACACACAACATTTACACACCACAACACACACACACACAACATTTACACCACCCCAACACACACACACACACAACATTTACACACCACAACACACACACACACAACATTTACACACCACAACACACACACAACATTTACACCCTCCCAACACACCACACACACACAACATTTACACACCCCAACACACACACACACACACAACATTTACACACCCCAACACACACACACACACACACAACATTTACACACCACAACACACACACACAACATTTACACCACCCCAACACACACACACCACAGCATTTACACCCCCCCACACACACAACATTTACACCCCGAACAAACACACACAAATATTTAGGCTATCTGAACAATAGACTCATGAAGCACTGGACAAATTTGGGTGAAAGATAAGCATAACTAATAGTGTAACAAGCTCATTCGAGCCGAAAAAGGTCACAATTGCAAGCCTAGTCAGCGAGGGGCATTATAAAAACAACACTGTCCAAAGTGCCCCATAAAATGGTCAAAGTGCACCATAAAATGGTCAAAGTGCACCATAAAATGTGCAGAGTGCCCCATACAATGATCGCAAGAAAATGCTAAACCAGCCTCTAAGTAGTACAGTTTCACACACGGATGTGAAATTTGTCCCAAAAAAATCTTATTCGCTCTGTGTATTAGTTGGCTTCATTATACATTGTTTATCTACGAATTCTTCACTGTATCTTGTACCAAATGTATTTTGACGCAAATAATTATCATTAATATATTACTGTCAACTTGACCGTCTCGAAGTTTTCAAGGGCATGGTGGTTGTCAAGCGATGATTGGTAGTCTTACAACCTGGTTGATACCTGGTTGATGGGGTTCTGGGAGTTCTTCTACTCCCCAAGCCCGGCCCGAGGCCAGGCTTGACTTGTGAGAGTTTGGTCCACCAGGCTGTTGCTTGGAGCGGCCCGCAGGCCCACATACCTGGTTGATGGGGTTCTGGGAGTTCTTCTACTCCCCCAAGCCCGGCCCGAGGCCAGGCTTGACTTGTGAGAGTTTGGTCCACCAGGCTGTTGCTTGGAGCGGCCCGCAGGCCCACATACCTGGTTGATGGGGTTCTGGGAGTTCTTCTACTCCCCAAGCCCGGCCCGAGGCCAGGCTTGACTTGTGAGAGTTTGGTCCACCAGGCTGTTGCTTGGAGCGGCCCGCAGGCCCACATACCCATCACAGCCCGGTTGGTCCGGCACTCCTTGGAGGAATAAATCTAGTTTCCTAAAGGAACAGACAATAGCATAGAGGAGAAGAAGACTGATGCTAATTAAAGATACTTATTTTAAGCGGCATTTGGCTTATCGCTAATGATAGCAAGCGCTTAAGTAGAGCGCTGAGAAGCCATGCAATAGGTCAACATAGATCCCCAGCACGATGAAGAGCCCCTCAAGTGCGAGCTGTCTACATGAAGCTCAAACTTAAGCTATGCCGTTATTCACGAAACTCTCCCTTGAGCAGCATCAGCTTCTATAAAGCTGCCACTTGAGTTAAACTTAGACAAGGGCGTGTCTTGTCAGGGTTCTTTCTTGCAGACCATCACAGCCGTATTCTAGGCCTAAGTATAAAAATATAATTTCTTCAAAGTTTCTTTTTTTCGCTCGAGGAAGGGCTTAACATTAGCCTAAATCAAGGTAGCTAATCCCACCCCACCCCTCACCTATCTTGAGGTGCTTCCGGGGCTTAGCGTCCCCGCGGCCCGGTCGTCAACCAGGCCAGACCAGACCAGACCTAACCTAACCTTCCCCTCACCACACCTCGCCATGCCAATGAACAATCCCATTTTATATAATGTTAATTTGCATTTGAAAGTATATATTGATGAAACAGTGTTTTGTTGTAACTCACACACACACAATATCTATATCTATATATAAAATAGAGTGTGTGTGTGTGTGTGTGTGTGTGTGTGTGTGTTCGTTCGAGGCTGGAGGGCAGATATTTTAAGAAATATTCGCATTTAGAGAGAATCCTAACACTGAACATATCTCTGTTCACTACGCTGATACTGAACAAATCTTATGAATGTGTCTGTGGCTCATTTGGGGGCTTCGTTTCCATTCCCTTGTCCCCCTGGTTCAGGGAATGGGGATGGATGGCCCAGGGGGTGAAAGGGGCACTTGGTGGGCAGGGGGAGAGTTCTGGGTGGGCAGGGGGGCAGAGCACTGGGTGGGCAGGGGGGCAGAGCACAGGGTGGGCAGGGGAGAGAGAAAAGGGATCAGTGTGTTTTTGTCTCGTAAATATAGATCACCATAAATCATGCCTCTCTCCTTGCATAATCAGGCACTGCTGGGACTCTTGCATCACCCCTGTCAGAGGCGCCGCTGGGACCCATTGCATTACCCTTGTTATTGCAGGAGGCGCTGCTGGGACCCCCTTGCACCACCACCACCAACCTGTTCCCGAAGGCGCTACAGTTGCATCAGGCACACCAGGTAGGCAACAATGGCAGGGGTTGCTAAAATCAGGAAAAAGAAGGATAGATAGTCTATATTTTCCTAGCGTCAAAAAGCATTTGATACTTTTCCTCGAGAAAGGATGGTGTACAAGATGAAGATACATGGCCAAAGTATATACGAAGCCACATGGCCAAGGTATATACAAAGCCACATGGCCAAGGTATATACAAAGCCACATGGCCAAGGTATATACGAAGACACATGGCCAGGAGGGATGACTGAGAAGGCACTGGCCAAGAAAAGAGTACCTGATGGGCAGGAAACAGACAGTCAGAAGAGGTATCGAAGAGGTTCCCCAAGAGTCGTTCCTGGAACCACTACTGTTCCTAATTGATGTGACTGACCAACCCCGAGGGAATGAGCTCCTATATGTCAGTATATCCGAGTGATGCAAAGCTAAAGAGAAATGTAAAAACAGAGGACGACTGCAGAAAGTTACAGGATGATTGACAAAATCCTGGAGCGGCCAGACAAATGGTTGAGAGAATTCAATCTTTACAAGTGTAAGATAATGAAGATGGTGAAAAGGGGGAGACGAGAGTTAGCGGTAACTATACCAATAAGGGGAAAAATACCTACAGGAGTCAGAGAAAGAATAGCATTTATGAGTGGACAGAATTCCAACACTATCCGCAAGGACACGGACAGACTAACATCAGCAGCATATGAGACACTGGAAAACAGCATTAGAACGTTGTTTAGATATTTAAGCCTGACTCGCTCTATCCAGGTGATCTCCATGAC